GAATTAGATGCCTTTCCTTTACCAAAAATTGATTCAATAATATCTAAAGTGTCAAAATATAACTATTTTAGTCAAATTCATTTAAACTCTGCTTACCACCAAGTTAAATAGTAGAGAAAGAACGACCATTTACAGCACTGAAGCTTGCAGGAACTTATATCAACTTACTCGCATTCCATTTGGCGTCACTAATGGAGTGGCAGCCTTTCAACGAACTTTAGGATACGTCATACAAAAAGAGAAGCTAAAGGGGACGTATGCTTATTTAGATGACGTCACAGTATGTGGGAAAACAAGAGAAGATCATGATGAGAACTTATCAAAATTCATGGAAGCGGTTGCTAAATATAATCTAACTCTTAATAAAGATAAGTGTACTTTTGCAAGTGAAACTATCAATCTATTAGGATATACAATTGGTAATAACATAATTACACCAGACAAAAGTCGTCTAAAGCCATTAATGGATTAACCTTTACCTAATAACACTGTTTCCTAAAAGAGAGCACTTGGAATGTTTTCTCATTACTCAAAATGGGTGCCTAACTTTTCAGCTAAAATTCAACCACTCGTACGAACAAAATTACCACTTTATACGGAGCTAAGTGTCAGTTTTCAACAACTTAAAAAAGATATCGCTAAGGCAGCTCTGATAAGTATAAATAAAACTGATCTCTTAACGATAGAAACCGATGCATAAGAATACGCTATTGTTGGAACCTTGTCTCAAAATGAAAGGCCAGTGGAATTTTTTTCACGATCATTAAATGACGACGAGAAAAAGCATTCCTCTATTGAAAAATAAGCCTATGCTATCGTTGAGTCTTTAAGGAAATGGCGTCATTTTCTAGTTGGCGACATTTTTTGCTAGTGACTGATCAAAGATCAGTATCTTTTATGTTAGACCAGAAACATAACAGCAAGATCAAAAATGAGAAAATTGAAAGATGGCGGCTAGAGTTGTCTTGCTTTAAGTATGATATTGTATATCGACCGGGCAAAGAAAACGTTTCCGCCGATACATTGTCTAGAGTTTGCGCTAGCCTTAGTACTAACAAGTTATATGACTTGCATAAGTTATTGTGCCATCCAGGTGTTGTAAGAATATGGCATTGAATTCGAACAAAGAATTTACCATACTCGATTAATGACGTAAAATCTATTACGGCGTCATGTCCTATATGTGCAGAAATTAAGCCGCGATATAATAATGCACATTGTCATTTAATTAAAGCTACTAAGCCTTTTCAACGTCTCAGTATTGATTTTAAGGGTCCTTTGCCGACAATTTCTCGTAAAAACTTACGATAATTGATGAATATTCCAGATTTTCGTTTGCCTATCCATGTCCTGATTTGTTTTCACAATCTGTGATTAAATGTCTTAAAGATTTATTCCTTACTTTTGGGGCACCCGCTTATATTCATTCAGATAGAGGAACGGCCTTTGCATCGGATGAAATGAAACAATTCCTAGCAACCATGGTGTTGCCTCAAGCCGTCCTACTCCATACAATCCTCAGGAGAACGAACAGGTGGAACGCTTGAATGGGACGCTTTGGAAAACTATTCAACTCGGTCTTAAGTCAAATGGTTTAGATAGTTCATGTTGGAAACAAGTACTAAAGTCGCCTTGCATTCTATACGGTCACTCCTGTGCACAACTACCAATGAAACACCACATGAGCGTCTAGTTCGCCATACACGTCGATCACCGACAGGGGATACTATACCTTCATGGTTATTGATTCTAGGTCCAGTCCTGATGAAAAAGAATGTTAAAACATCAAAGTTTGATCCCGCCTTAGAAGAAATAGAATTACTTCATAGAAATCCTCATTACTCTCATGATTGCTTGTCTGATGGACGTGAAACCACAGTTTCAAATAGACAATTAGCCCAACTACTACCGACAGAGGACTACGATTCTGATGAGGGAGTCGATGCTGCAGATGTACCTGTTGTTCCAGGTAATATATCAAGTAGTTTTCCTAGAGAGACTGACACTACTGCCTCTTCATCTCAAAAAGAACAACTCAAAAAAAGGTACCGAAGTTTCGCGTCGGTCGTCACGTCATAAGAAGATGCCTGGATATCTTAAGGATTTTGTTAGTAACTAAATAACATGGGAGGGGTGAATGTAGTATTTACATATATGTTGTGTATTATTCATTTGACATTGGCAATATGACTAAATTCTTATCTCTAATGTAACTAATATTTTTATGTTGATTAAAGCCAATATTCTAATGTTAAATTAGTTATTTCTATCACCCAGAAAAGCCGCACATCCTAAAGTCATTTGATAGTATCAACAGAGCCAGAGGGAAAGACCTCCCGGCTCTGTTGTGCATTTTGTAAACAGATTCCACTGGGAAGCCTTGTTCACACACATCATTTTGATCTGTTCGATGGGAAGTTCGGACGGTATGTTGCGTAGTATCGCACGAACTTTACGCTCCTTCCGGGAAGGCGTTACAACGCTCTAATGAGGACTTTGAGCTATACTAGCTATATTCATGTTTTTAGCATGGGTATAGCTTATCTTATTAGATAAGCAGAGGTTAGAGACCTCTGTCCATCTAGCCTTAACCCGTATGAAAACGGGTGGCGTAGGTTTGGGTTTACCCGGCTTGGGGTCACATTTGTTATACGGCCTCGTGACAGGCGGGGTAATACTACGGGGCGTCCCAATAGTGTTACCCTTAGGAGAGGGCGACTCCGTCATGGTTCTCTGTGCGGTATTGCTCCCGGGCAACTAAGGGCGGAGAGCGGCTCTCTCGCCGGTATTACATTCGGAGGGTACCCCATCAAACACGATCAACATGACGGGCGCGGGGGGCGGGATGTCATCACCGTAAGAAGCTGAAGCGCTCACTTTGGGAGAGCGAGGCTTGCGACGCTTCCTTCCACTTTCGACCGGTTGGAAACCGGTTATACTGTCGTTGATGTCCGATGACCTCAAGAAGTCATCATCCGACGGAGAAGGAGATCGAGGTGGGGACCGCTGAGAAGCGGTCCTCTTGATGGAGGCGTTTCTGCACTCCATTACTGAAGGCGTGGAAGACGGCAACGCCGAGAATTCTGCCGCCGCTTGGATCGAAGAGACCAACAGGTCAAAGTGACTTATAGGCATGAGTCGACGCAGGTCGTTGATTGAGTAGGATTGGTAGGATTTTGGGGATTGTTAGATGAGGGGGCGAGAGGAAAGTGTTTATGTCTCACTCGCACCTTTCTCCGTCACACCCACCTTATTAGGCTAGAGAAAGGAGAAGCGAGTGCTAAAAAGACTTGCCCCCGCCGAAACGAGGGAGGAAGGGGGACGCGGAATAAACTGCGGCTATCCCTAATAGAACTAGCGGCAATCTTCACCCTTGGGACTAGTCCCAAAGGTGAATATTGCCGCTAGTTCCATTAGCCTAGGCCTAGGCCCTAGGCACTACTAGAAAGTAGCACAAATCACTAGATCGAGTTTTACCGTACGCAAATTCTTTCCACGTATCGCCAATTTTATTCAAGAGAAGGACGTGAAGCGATTGAAATTAAGAACTTCAATCGGGAAGACGGATATAAACTGTCACAAGCATGGAATCCAGTATTTGCTAAAACGCAACCTCTTTTTTCGCAATCGGTAAATTTACAGAATACGGCTCATGTGCGGAATAGAGACACCGTTAGTGTTGTTTGTGTTTGGTATTTGGATGAAAAATATGAGGGTGGAAGAAAATTAATCCGCGGATGCAATGGAGTAGACTTGCTGCTCCAGTCTTGTTGTCACCACGGCCGGTGTAACCCGGCAGAAATGTCACCGCAGGTTAGCAGAAAATCGCGTCTAATACCCGCAATTATAAATATTGTGTTATAGTGAATATTTACTTCAATGGATAAATTTTGTATTGAATCTTCTCGAATAATTTTGTTATTGGAGTTAATCATATTTCAAAATGGATAAGCGATTACTATTAACAAAAAAAAATATGCACGTACGACAATCGATATTTCATTTTATAATTGAAGTTAATTGTGCTGTCATTATTTATGGTCCGATAAAGAGATGGACGTTTAAACGAAAAGCACTTAATTAAGCATGCTTTTCTAAATAAGTGCAAAAACGCTTTTTTCACTTAGAAGAAAAGTATGCTAATGCTTATTGGACGTCCCGCCATCTATCAAGATATAAGTACTAGCTCAATAAATTTTTCTGTTTCGGCATTTTTCTATTAGAGGGCAGCACTCTACATAAATGCACTGTATTATACTATAACGCGTGATATCCAGCTAGACTTTATGGAATAACTTTTTTGGTTGGTTAATCCAAACGCTTTTTTAGATGGAATTTAGAAAAGCAGCAGAAAAGCAGAAGTAAGTGCACGTTGTGTTGAATGTTAATTAATTACGTAAGTTGAATTGTATGCGTAAATAAATTGCTTCTGAAATAACTACTTTTGTTTATTCCTAAATAAATAATGTAAATAAGTTTTGTTATGAGGTTATTGTGTGTATATAAAACATTCTAAATATTATTGAACTGCATTAGTTTTAAGATTGTGGAAATAAAATGTCAAGAAACGGTAATAGAAGAGTGGTCTTGTATTATACATTAAAACTTTCCTTTTCAATCACCCTATCTATGAAAAAAAAACCGCTTTAACCGAAAACTTTGTTTTATACCAAAGAGAACAGAATAATACGGAATGTTTTATACTATGTAGTGATAACACAATGATGCACGCTTATTTTAACGATTTCCAAACGTCAGTTGAAAAAAAAAAGCGTTTAAGCAATAAGCAGTTTTTAAAAACGCTTATTAAAAATCGTACTACGTAACAACGCTTAAAATTTTTAAGTAGTTATTTCCACCTCTAGATACATGCACAGACCAAGAAAGAGGAGATTTAAAAAACATGAGTCAAAAAGGACCTCATATTTTGTTAAGAAGACGTGTAAAGACCACAAACGTGACATTGTCAGAATTGTGTAAATGCAAATGGGCCATAAATTAAAAAAGAAGAAGAAGTTAACAACAAGCGTTAAATTAATTAGAGCTTTGATATAAAATAAAAGAAAGAAATCTCTAGAGGAATATAAATATGTCACTAGCGGATGAATTATTGGCAGATTTAGAAGAAAATGATGACGGAGAACTCGAATCAGCTATCGAAACTAAAACATCGAACGAGTCTTCTCACGAGTTCGCTGTGCCTTACCCTGTTATTCCAAAAGAAGAAGAAATCAGAAACGTTTCAATCCGGGAATTGGCAAAATTGAGAGACTCTGATCGCCTAAAACGAGTAAGTAACAGTATTTCTATTTACGGATTTGAATGAGTACAAAATGACCACCACTTATTGTTAAAGTAACTTTTTGGATGGGCTTTTTTGGCATATTTGTTACACCTATGTATCCACATAATATAAAATGAACAACAACGTTAAATTAGTATCAATTTAAATTTTAGGTTGATGATTATTTGAATATATTTATTTTTAGGTAATATCAGAGATTGAGCAAAATGTGGGAAACAATAGAAAGAAAATAGATGTAATGGGCTTGATGGAATCTGATCCAGAGTACCAATTGATAGTAGAAGCTAATAATATTGCAGCAGAAGTGGATGGAGAAATTGGTAAGCATCTTTAAATATGTTCTGTAGATCGTTTTGCTTTACATTATAATATTCTTATATTATGTCTAAAATTGTTTCTGACTACAGGACTGTCCAATATTCCTGTATTATTTTTTATGTTTATTCTCATTTTGTTGAATGTATCCCATTGTACTGCTGAAGTGATTGTTATATTGTGAACAGGTACCCTTAATGTCACTTTCCAGCTATTATCCACAGATTTGTTCGTGATAAATACCAGAAGCGGTTTCCGGAACTTGAATCATTAATAGTCACTCCGCTTGAGTATATTCGTTCTGTCAAAGAACTTGGAAATGACTTGGATCGAGCTAAGAACAATGAGATATTACAAAGTTTTTTAACTCAAGCTACTATTATGATTGTATCTGTGACTGCATCAACTACTCAGGGGTATGTAGTATTCTTAAATAAACTCCAATAAATTGAGAACCTCTATTTTTTGTATATGAACCCCCTTGTAATATATTATTGAATAATTTTTTTGATAATCTTAACTTATGCAAGATTAAATAAGTTACAACTTGTATGCACAACCACTATAATGCTCAAGCATAGGGTATTGCTTTGTTTCTAATTACTTAGTTTGAATTTGATTACATGTGATGAGAATAGGCGTTTATTATTTACTGTTTTATAGAATCTTTTTTTTTAATCACAAGGTACTCTTTTAAAAAATTCTGTACATAACTATATGATGATCTAAGACAGTACTTTATAATCTGACAAATTCAGTAATTCAACAGTGACCTGCATATTGTTTGTTGGATTACTGGATGTCCATTGTATTTGCAATATAATACCTATAAACAGGACGTGCACAGAGATTTGCGGTAGAGTATGCAGCATGTGCCTACATTAAAAAACTTACCCATCTTCAACATAGTTTCAGTACCTTCTAATAAGTTAGACCACATGGCCTGGCCTGGCCAGGATGATCATTTGATATTTATTGATCACCATTGAAATAAGTTACCGAAAAATAATTTCGTTTTATTAAATAGCAAGAAGTACTGAACTGTACCTATTATTTTGGCATTGTTCACATAACCAGTCAGCGGCCAATAAAGCATTAGGTATTAATCTGAATAATCCCAAATTTTTTATAAAAATAAATCAACATGCCTTTCAGTAAAACATCTTCATAAAAATAACAATATTGTTTTAAAAGTTCTTTTTAAGCAAGAGAATTATTGTTCAGTTGCTGCACATTGGTGCCTATTGTAACTGTTTGTTTTATTAATTTGTAAAGTTAAGGAATTATGGTTGTTAAATTAAATGTATGTAAATATTGAATGTTACCCAATTTAAACTATTATAATACTTTTGATTAAAGAACGAGGCACACACCTTCTATTTACTATTATTCTAAATTTTTCTTCAGGACAATGTAAATGCATTCATATTTAATTCATCATTAGCAAAAAGCAGAAAGAGCAGCTCACAGTTATTATTAGGACAGGTGTAATTAGATTGATTAATTAATTAAAATTTAACCACAGCGCTCACAAAAGTAAACTAAACAAAATGGTGAAAAAAATACTTTAAACTATACACGGGCCAAATTAAATAGTATATTTACGCAAAGGATAGTCTTTTGGTAACTTATTTATTAAGTCAGGTTGCGATAAGCAGTGTCTCTCAAAACCGTAACACATGCATGAATTTTACACACACAAATATCTTCTGCATACAACACGAGTTTTAATCTATCGTATTTGTATGGCGAATAAGCTGTAAGAAGAGCAGCATGTGTGTACGCCACTGCCTATGAAATATTACAAAATTGCAATCATGCTTCGAATATGAGTCATTTTAGTTTTATTGTACATATTTATTGTTTACAGAAAATTATTAACTGATAATGAACTAGCTGAAATATATGAAGCCTGTGATATGGCAGCGGAACTTAACACATTTAAATCAAAGATCTATGAGTATGTGGAAAGCAGAATGACATTTATTGCGCCAAATATTACTGCTATTGTTGGTGAGTTCATTTTCCTGTTCAGTTCTATCTTAGTTACTTTACCAGTGCCTTCAACCATATGTTTAAAGAGAAAGAGTACAACTTACTAATAGTCCCAAAATTAAACTAATAACAATACACTGAGATGTAAAAGAAGATGTAATTGTCTCAATTTTTGAAATAGAGGTAGTCTATTCTGAGATGTAAAATTAGAACTAAAAAATAAATACATTTTTCCATCAGACTTTTAACACGTTTAACATATTAGAATATCTGCATTTAATAAATTTGGTGGTTTGAATGGGGGTGAATCAATTAAATTATACTCGTTAACTTACTAAGGTATTATAAATACTAATGAAATTATCATTACAAAGTTTTCAAATTTATTTATTGCTAGGGGCCTCAACGGCAGCTAAAATATTGGGTATTGCTGGTGGTCTCTCAAAGTTGTCAAAAATGCCTGCATGCAATGTTCTAACACTTGGACAGCAAAAGAAAACTCTCTCTGGATTCTCTCAGGCTGCAGCTTTACCCCATACTGGATTTATATATTTTTCACAAATTGTTCAAGATACACCACCTGTAAGTATATAAATTGTCAGACTATTCTTGTTGAGTGTTCATACTTTGATTAAAGAACTAGATACAGCACGCTTGAAATAATCCTAAAGTAATTGTATACAATAAGAATGATTCAAAATTATAAGTAATTGCAATTTCGAAGAAATATATTACTTCCATATTTGATGGAAACTGAATACACAAAATTAATTTTATTTCGTCGTTTATTAGGAATTGCGATTTAAAGCAGCCAAATTAGTATCAACAAAACTTACTTTGGCATCCCGAGTAGATGCTTGTCATGATTCGACTGACGGGCATATCGGTCGACAGCTCCGTGAAGAAATAGAAAAGAAATTGGACAAGTTGCAGGTAATACATAGGTTTACTTGAAAAAAAAAAACAATAAAAATAGCTCAGCTCAACACTAATCATGCAAGATACAAAAAATGGCCAATGCAATTGTTAGGTTAATACACCCAGTACAGAAAGTAATATTAAACCGTATTTTAATTTTTGAAAATTTCAAATTAGTTTGTTAAATCACGTTAAATACAGTATGAGAATTTTACTGTTTGATCTTGGTTAAACCCTTCAAATGTCACAGTAGCAATGGATATTGTCTTTTATTGACATTTAATATATTGTTATGCGTAACAGGAACCACCGCCAGTGAAATTTGTGAAACCACTTCCGAAGCCTATAGAGCAGAGTCGTAAGAAGCGCGGAGGAAAACGCGTACGGAAAATGAAGGAGCGATACGCCATGACAGAGTTCAGGAAGAATGCGAACAGGCTCAACTTTGCTGACGTGAGTGTAACGTTCAGATGTTTTTATTTTATAGGTTTTTTTATTTGCATGTGTTTTGATTTGGAGCAAATCGTGTAAGTTATGTAACCCACATCCGAGTTCTTTCTTAGCTGAAGATGTGTAGTGTATTCCCTCAGATTTTATAGTGCTTTTATAATACTCACTATATATGTCAATTTTTGAAAAATGGAACTTGTAGTTTTGTATATTTTTAAAGAACCAACAATTCAGACTAGTGAACATGGCACATGAAAAATTCCTCTTTTTTATATTGAATTGACAACTCTGCACAGATCCAAATACTTTACAAGTACTATCTCTAGTTTTTTCATATTGACACAAAATACGTATAAGATCAGGTTTTGCTTGAAGCATAACACCAGGGCTTGGAAACCGGTTTATTTTTTTAACCGGTTCGACGTAAGTACATGCGAAACGTTACATAAAAGGTTCAGCTCCTTCGAACCGGTTTTTAAACCGGTTCACTAACCGGTTTAAATATGACTCCAGACAATGATCTCACAAACTTCAGCGCGGTTTTTAAGTGCCTACACTCCTATCTATAACATCCGTACATAGGTATGATAAATGTCGTCGCTTAAAAATGATATAATTCGCATCAAAAGTGTAAGAACATTGCTTTTTACGAACCAAGCGAATTAACCGGTTTTTATTCTATCCGAATTTCACTCCGCATTTAGTTCCGATCCGGAACGGAACATTATAATAGAACAGGTTTTACCTAAATAAAAACGGTTTATTCTGAACCGGTTTCAAGCCCTGCATAACACAATGTGATTCGTATAAAAACAGAATTTATTTATTAAATACAAATAAATTTTATAATATAAATTATAAACATTTATAAATTTATAATTAGAGATATCAACTGATAAAATACTGACCCACAAACAGAGAATCAACAATGAAATGTTCATGCTTTACCTCTTCATTCATAACTTTATACTCTTCTATTGCTAAACATTCAAAAAATTTGGCTTTTTTATTTTTTGTGAATCATTATCTTTTTAGAAAAATTCGCGATTGTGTTTTATTTGTTTCAAAATTGGCATTGGACTCCTATTCCTATGGCACTGGTATCTGAATAAATAAATATTGGTGCTTTTGGATTATAAATGGAGTATTGGTATGGAACATAGATAATTTTTAATATTTTCTGATCTTTTCTCAGTAAAGGAACAAGAACTATCGAAATATTACGGAAGTATTTTCATAAAAATCATTTTTATAAAAAATTTCGTATTTATTTTCTATTTTGAGGAGGAGGAAAATCTTTTATGGATTTTAAATTGTCTTTTAGAGGTGTAATCGTCTGTAGTATATGACATAAATATTTAATAGAATCACTTACAGACTTACTCTTTGTGAATTTTAGCCAGAAACCTTCTTCTCGGGTAGCCTCCAGCAATTTTTTTAAGTGTGATTTCCCAAAAATCCGTTGAAATACGGGTGGGGATGTCTTAAGTCCGAATGTTAAACGAAGAATGTAATTACCAATGGACCTGCCATTGGTAATTACATTCTTCCGTTACAAAATCGGTTGTGAGTCGATCTGTAATTTTAAATGGAATTAATAATTATAATTTATTGTTTAAGTTATAACTCTGCATCCAGCGTAATTAATCCTTTAGTTTTACCTCCTCCACTTATTGTTTTTATTGTGTCATAACAATAATTTAGGAGTAGCTCGGCGCAGCACGCAATCGTTGTTGTTAAGCAACTTTAGTTACTGAATGGGTGACTAAAAATTATTATCTCGAGCTATTCCGTGCTTCGGAAGGGACGTTGAGCCGTTGATCCCGGCTGCATTTGCAATCGTTGATAGCCTCCAATCCGCATTGGATCAGAGTAGTGGGTCATGGCCCATCCTCCTTAATCATCCATAAGGATGCCTGAGCCCCTGCAGTGGGGATGTAACTGGGCTGATGATGATTATAGACAATAATTTGGTTTCATATTTCATCATCTGAACTAATTTTGATTTTATTATTGTTATTATTCGTGAACCAGGATTACGCAGCCCATTGGCTTCTAATTTATCGCTTAACATCACTGTAATCTCAATTAGTAGAGTGAATTTTAGGTATCTTGATCTTCATTAAAAATTTTGATTTTAAACTTTTAATATTGAATTAGAATTTAGGTTTTTTCATCTGTCATTTTTATACCAGCATTCATAATTATACCAGCAGACATTCTTAGGATGATATCTGTTTAATTTTTCTTTATTCTCAAAAATTCAATTGACTATGTCAATCTTTACACAAAGCTTACATACTAATTATTTTAAACTTGACATAATTTTCACTTAAAAATATTCACTCGTACATCATTTAATATGCAGGTTTAATTGCCGAGCTAGCAAAACTACCACCGGTGGTTACGGATTACGACGTGACCGTTGTCGTGCCGCGGCGGTCATCTCTTTGAATTTCAAATCGTTCACTAGAATGGTGATTTTTTTTCGCGTTTTTCAAATAGACCGGAACTAGCTCTGGTGGAGCGCGCGGACCGTTGTACGCGTGCGCGCTCTGAGAATAACGCTGACATACGGTTCGTTAGGTAAATTAAAATTTTACATTTGATCCATAACAATAGCGCAAATGAATAAAGTATTATCTGTCACTTTCATGCTACAGATCCAAATAATATAATATTAAATTTCTGTAAGTTACATTTTTTTTGTTTGTGCGTGCGTGCGTGTGCATGTGTGTATGTAGCCAACACATTGTATATATTATATATTTTGCTTCAACGTATTGCCCGAATTGATCTCTTATCTAATTTTCATATGCGGGTGCATGGAAGAGATAGATTTTAATCGACGAGGCCACCATTTGCTGTTTTTTATATTTCTTCTTATGCAATAAAGTTTATTATGATGACTGTACAGGGTTCTACTACAAATTTCTTTTACCACCGTTTAAAAAATTTGAGGATATAAATGTTTTAAAATAAAAATCGCCACATTAGTATCTACATGCGAATCATGCTCTAATTATTCCATTTTAATGAGAATGTCTTTTCATTTTTAATATATTTTAATGTATTTCATGATGCGATTCAATTATATATCGCATATTTGTACGCATGTACTCAAAATTATTTAAATAAATACCTATATTGTTTTGGAACTTTTACCATAGTATAATAGAAGAGTACGTTGTCTTCAAACATATGCACCGAAAACGGTTTGTATGTAAGCACGTCCGTTCATATGCGTCGTCGTACGCACACACTGATAAAATTTATCAATGTTAAAGGTGCTCAAGTTACGAGTACGAGTGGCAACTTGTCAGTTTTTCCCGCGCTCATTCCGCGCTGCTGCGTTGCCGCTCGTAATAATTTGTAGGTGTACCTTCATACCTCTTTGAACTAAAAATTCTAAGATGCTTTAAATTCGAATAAAAAATATTGCAGTAGTTATGCATATCTCAATAGCATCTTGTACTTCTCGAAACATGTCGCACTCCCGGTGCGACACTGTCACTTATGCAAAAATTTAGTTTTTCAGGAGAAGAGTTTTAAACTCTGCCACCTCACAAAACAATGACTTTAGAAGATACAAATGAGAGAGACAAAAGTAACATTATCGCACCAAGTAAAGGGGTGCTTTAGGACAATTATTACATATTTAACTAATTTTTGTATTTTTTGCAAAAGTGACAGTGTCGCACCGAGGGTGCGATGTGGTTTTTCTGTATTTTGTTAAAAATGAGTTTTTTTAAGGCTATTGTAAAAATATTCATTTTTGAAATTTAAAGATTTGAGTGTAGAAATAGTTAACAGTTTAAAAATACAATTTTATAATCATTTTCTTTTATTTGAATAAATTGAATATTAATACGTTTTAACTATTCCTTTTCGAAAGTAATTTTTCAAAAAGCTTAATACTCACAACGTTGGTAATGAAAATATTTCAATTTTTCATCTCAAGAAATAATTAATAAACGTTGTATTAAAGATTCCTGATGTTTTCTATAGAAATGGTCATTGCATTTCTGACGATTGAAGTACCTATAAGCAATAACCCTATGTTTAGGTTATTATCGCTTGCTCGGGGCTCGAGTCGGCGTACTATTTTTTTTTATTGTGCTTTTACGATACGAATTGATTTCTGAATAAACTTTTTCTTTTTTAAAACATTTAAAGAAAATAACCGTGGTTATGTCAAAGGTTTATTACAGTTTTATTATGTAAATTTGTTTTAAATATATCACCTCAGACAAATCCCAGTGATTTTTTATTTACATGTAATAATTATAAACCTTTGTACTTTTTTTTTTAAATAAACGGAAAAAACTAATAGATTTTCGCGTAAGTTGCTTTGTATGGAAAATCTAATAGATTTTAAAGTCGCTTTGTATCATCCACAGTATGAAGGTTAGCGTGCCTAATTATTTGATGTTGGCGAAATGAAAATCTAAGTGTGTTAATGCCAAATAAACGGCTGGTCTTAATATCGTCAATGTAACTGTGTGATACTTATTCGGACGGCGTAGAATACGATGAATTTGTGTACACATAAAACTAGTACACTTTTTCTGCTAATGCGGCGTGGCATAAATGGATTAGATTAACCTTATAACAATTACAACTTGATATTCGTTTCAAATAACTTGATACGGATTGTAAAATTTGTAAGTTATTCGCGGTACAGCTTAATCTAAAGATTTTTATGAAATAAGTATCAGAAATTACAAATGAAAAATGCTAAATAGACGTTTATTGAAATATTTGGTAATGGCTCTTGAATTTATTACTTGTTTTTTTGGCAATCGTTAACATGTTTGTATGATTACATTTTGGTATGATTCGCTGCTATAGACTAACATCAGTTATATCCATAATATTCACGAGGGTTCCTGATCGTCTATCCTCAGATAATACATTTCTTTGGGCTACTATTACACCCAATCATTTTTTCCCTATCTGAGAAAATTAAGTACTCCGTCCAATTGCATGCCGGCGGTCCCAATTATCTCCTTTTTGCCTGTTTGTTATTTGTTTTTCCTTTTATATGCTTTTTTTTGCGTAATAAAAGGTACCTGTGAAATATCTCTGCTCTAAATGTTCCTAAATAAAATATTAACCTTTATTGTTCAGATTGAAGATGATGCCTACCAGGAGGACCTTGGCTACACTCGTGGTACGATCGGCAAGTCGAGTACTGGCCGCGTCCGATTGCCACAAATAGACGAAAAGACAAAAGTCCGAATCAGCAAGACCCTTCAAAAGAACTTGCAGAAGCAAAACCAACAGTACGGTGGCGCCACCAGTATTAGAAGACAAGTTTCTGGCACTGCGTCGTCTGTGGCTTTCACACCATTGCAGGTTTGTAGTCGATATATGTGTGGGATTTTATTAAATGTGTAAATTTTTCTATATATATTTATAAATCAATTGCTGTTCGTTCGTCTCACTATATCTCGAGAATGGCTGAGCCGATTCAGGTGAATTTGGTTTCGAAATGTTGGCCAGGAATGGTTTAAATGGTGAGAATTAAAATGAAATTATGAAAAAACTAACATTTTATACTCGTTGTCACGTGATCACATACAGCACGTGATGTCACGCCCCCTCTTACTCATATACGAACTTAGAAAATTGAATCTTATGCATAATAGTTACAGAAGTTGGCGTAATATAATATAAACTTATTAAAACCTCCTACTTCTTTGTACTCGTTACCGGGATTTCAATTGATTCAAAATTATTTTATTGGGGGCAGTGGAGGTAGTGCTCCTATATACTTACGTTCCCATATTACTTTTAGTTTTCTATTCCTCTGTGAGCACGTCTTTGGCTGGAGAACATATTTTCATTAAAGTATCCTTCTCTCACCGCAAATTATTATTGGGTGTTTATTATAACCCATCACTTCGTATTAAATAAAAAATATGGTATCTTGTAGACCATTTTTTTTTTTTAATTTAAAAATACTAACGGTCCCTTGCTTATACATTTATGAAATTTGTGTTTTTTGTTAGGAATAATCCGCACTTTTTCGAACGTTATGTTAATATTCCTCGTAAGTTTACCACTAGATATCCAAACAAATTGCAGCTTCCTTTGATAAAAACGGAAATGTGGCAAAAAAGTACTATTACAATTAAAATTCTATAAACAAATAAAATCTGAAAACGACGTGCTCAGTATATTCAAGTCTGAGTTAAAAGAATGTTAACTTACGGCGAAATGTTTTTTTTTAGCTTAATGGAAATCATTGAATGTAAATGTTGATATATTATCTCAAAATTATGAAAATTAAATTGATTTATCTAACTTCTTCTGCAGGCCAGTTTTTGGTTAATATGTCTCTTAATTAGAAAATAAATTGTAACATATTGTACTTTACATATATATGCAGAAATAAATACATTATTATTATTATTATTATAATTAAGCCCCCGTATATCTGTTTTCATATATCCTGACAACATCCAAAGGTTGTCGTGAACAAATTGCTTTAAGCAATAAGACCGCACTTGTACTTAATTATATACTATTATTCCGACATAATTTTGTGAGCAATGGTGTGTACAATCAAGACTTTGTATTGTATTGATACTTTTTAATTTTTTCTAGATATATTTCGTGTATATCTATAAAATAAAAATATAAAAAAGTTGTCCACTTCCCTATTACATCATTTGCTTCTTGACATCTAAAAATAACTAAAGTACCCAAGTTAAATTATATAAACATTAAATTCAGATTTTTATTATCAATAAAAATGATTTTTTTTTGCAAAAAAACAACAACACAATGCAAAACATTAATTTGTCAATAAAAATATAAATCTACAATTTTGAATTATGTAAGGTGCAACAAATCTTTAACAGTTATGATCAATAATGAAATAAAACTCCCATTCAAGCTGTATTATAAACCCTTCACCAACAACTTTATACAACAAGTTAGACTGTGTAAAATAACAGCATTTGACAGGCCTTTTAATAGTTCATTGATTCCGTCCCGCATACGGTTAAATACTAGTTATGTTGTTTAATGTAGATATGTTAACCGTGTACAGTGCCGGATTAAGACTACCCGATGCCCTAAGTAATTCTCATTGTCTGTACATGAATGGGGGAATCCATTGAAAAGTACACTATAGAAATTTGAAAAAATACATATTTAATACGAGACAGATCATTACGTACGACGTTAAACGTGATGCCCTATGCAATTGGCTATTTGACTGTTTTGGGTAATTTTCATATGATATTAAACCACTGTCAGATATATTTTTCTCAAATAAGTTTTAAGTAAAGGAAAAATATATTTTAATTGCCCCGCGAAAAAATCATCCACGTGGCACTTCGACCTGTGACGTCTTATTTCAATAAATGTACTGGCTGCACTCGCAACAGAGTTTTTGTTATTAAGTTTATTGAAATGTGACGTCACACGATGCTGTCTTTGTCGCGTTACGGTATTTGTAATCTACAGATCATAAATCGCAAATACTTGCGAAGTATATTTTATTTGTTCAAAATATACATTTTGAACAAATAAAATATACTGACAATATACTTTAAAACAAAATTTAAGTATTTGCATCATAATTTATAATCTATTATTATAATAATTGTCAAGTACTACTTAATAAACTTATTTTGCTTAAAGGCTAATCCAGCACTGACTGTGTATGATGATTATATAAACACGGGTTATGTGAAAAAAAATCTATGCCGATGTACTGACAAGGAGTTATATTGTTGTATGCGACTGTAGTGTGTAATCTTATTCTATCTCACGTTTGATGTAATTATTCTTTTAGAATCGTGACATTTGACGTTCTATGATGAATCTGCCGTTTTTGTGTGATTTGTAGTTTAAGTATATTTCGGACGTTAATCGCAGTAGCTTTAATTTTTTTTTACTTATCTCTGTAATTATGCACACAATGGATCAACGGATCTCTGGATATTTAACGTCGCCGAATATCAAAAAGTTACCTACAAAATGGTTTTTATATATGGGTAATAAAACACATCGACTTCATTATGAAGCTATGTATTTTTATATATATCTAACCCGAAAATTAAAAGTCTCATTCCTCTCCTCATTTTAGATAAAAGCTCAGCATAACATATTTAACGAAATAAATTAACAGACGCCATTTTTATGATTAAATAATAGGTATAGATTTAGATCATAGACTCATATGCAGATTTAATTGATGCCTTTGGCAGTATATGAAGTGTAGGTGTAATATAATAAGTGAAATAAAGAGATAAACTTCTATACATATAAATCATAACACCATCTGTTTACTCCCACTTTTTATTTGTTATTAAAATCTTAACAATTAATTTTTCTTGTGTAACTATTGATTAGGTAAATGTCAGTATTATTTAATCGTGTCTAATTTAATGTTACCAAAAGACAATCGGTAATTGTAACGGTAATAATTAATTAATATTATAGATTGTTTATTTATACCTTTGAGATGTTGAGCTATCGACGGTAACAGTAGTTGTTGACATTTCATTAATACCTATCTGATTCATGGCCGTTACATTCGAAGTACTCGACCAATGCCCATTGGAAATAGATTTCTATTAGTGGTCAATTTAATATCAAACTACTGTCATGAAACACACTACTCACACTAGTTGCTTATAAAACTTACTTTATGTCCATATTAGTGTACAGTTTACTTTAATAATAATAAACTTATTGCACACAACAGAACAAAAAACAAAAAAAAGTTACAGAGAATCACAAAATATGGATACAAAAGGCGGCCTTACTGCTAAGCAGCAATCTCTTTCAGGCAACCTTTGGAGCACAAAAAAGGGTAAAGATTCTATGGGGTATTGGGTGCAACGATAGGACAATATATAAGGAGATATAATTAAGATAAGGAAAGGAAATGGCTTTTAACTCCTATCTATTTCTTGAAATGTGTTCTTAAAATTATCCCTTCTTCTTACTACGTGCCTTCTTCTTATCTCTGCAACTCTACGACAAAATTGCGTCTAATAAAGTTACACCTATAACTGGCTTTCCTACAAGCTTTATTAAATGTATTTTTATTCAAAAATATATTTTCAAAATAACTCATAAGCATATATATGACAGAAAAATAAATATTACAATAATTAATAGCTGATAAAATTGACATTCAGTTCCACCTTCATTAATTAAATATATTTAAACGTTTTCTTTCAAGTTTCCGCTTGATTTGACCCTATTCATAAACGTGAGATAAAAATAAATACACCCTGACACACTTCATTAGTAGTGGCACGAAAAGTTACCTTTCTAACAAACGCGGCAATCACAGTTCTTCAATGTCTGTTTTATCTGATAGTTGTCGTAATATTTATCTGTTTTAAACGTCGTATAGTGTGCGCCCGAGCTGCTAGGCGTCATTACCATCGTATCGCTTCTCCATCTGGCCCTTGCACGATACCACCTGCCAATAGCCGTTGTAATATAACTGATGTATCCTGATCAAAGCTTCTTTACCCCCTTAGCGGTTATGATCGCCTAATATTACCGCAGCTGCTTGTTATTGCGGATTTATTGGTTTTACATTGGCTTTAAGCTTGAACCGTTATTATAATAGATTCCGGTGTAGTATAGTCAAATTGAATTTTATACTATTGAAGTTTTATCATAACATTTGTCTTGTCGCTTTGTGTTTGACGGAATACTAATGAAATGCGAAAGTCGCAATATAATAATTATTACTTGATAAAAAAAAGGAAGAGCTTAAAATGGATTTTTACAATCCATTCATCCATTTCAAATTCTTCTTCGTTCAAAATTAATGGATAATTAAAAAATACAATCAATGGTTATGTGTATATTGATTCATAATAGTTTCACACGCACTATCCGTAAATGAAACATCCATATCAATTAATGTCTCATTTATGGTTAATTGTAATGACTTGTATCCATAACCACTAATTGACACCGGACTCTCGAGGTGCTGCGCAGCTCAGGTCAGTCGCTTAGGTCTGCATAAATGCAAAAAGAAAACAAGTCTAGAAATAAGACAAATAGAGTAAGAGATGCGTATCATTAGGCTCTTAGCTACCGCCGTATCAACGATACGGGGCCCATGCTACCGGGGGCCGTAACGTGTGTAAGGAAAAAAAATTACCTTCTTGCACTAATTTTGATATGCATGCCAGTGCATGCTTCATCACTGTGTCGTATTGTGCCAAATAGAGCAAAATGAATTTTTAACCAATTACTTGTAATCTATTACCATTATAAAATTCTTAAATACCACACATAAGCTTTACGGTAACTCATAAATTGATCAATTGTCAGTACATTGATGACTGTTTATTCAGATATTTTGTTTC